ATCGGCGAATTTTCTCGCTTTTTCATCTTTGATGAACTACTGCCAACCTACACTTCCGCTTCTCGACTAGGAAGGGGTATCTCCAAACTCTTGTGAATTGTGCCTTCAATTGTTAAGTGACGCATGTTGTATTAGGCACTATGAAGGAGAATTTTGAAAATCTTCACCATAATAGCCAATAAACAACTTTTAGGTTGCTTTCAGATTTTCATCCATTCACCTTCCGCCATCTTTCGCTAGAAAACAAAGATGTAGACAGCGATCTCGTCGGAGCAGCGAATGTTTGCGGCTGTTGCATGGAGTGACCGTTGGTACACAGAGAAGGTATTACAACTTTGCTTAACCAATAGACTGTGAGCATGAGTTATTTATTTATTTATTTATAGACTCATGCATGCGATTTCCATTGAACACCAGCAATGTCGTCGCCTCATCCCATTCAGAGGAACGCCTCTCACAGGGATTCGTTGAGCGGTAAGTTGTAATGCTTACCTACCGATCACCTAGTATTTCAAGGACCTCTCTGATTTCCCGATTGCTGTGAAGTTCTTTGTTTTCTGGAAACTATGGGAGCCTTCGTCCTGGGCTCGCGTTCTGGAACGGTTCCAACATTTTTCCGTGTGGTCCTACTAGTTGTAAGTTCGGGGCGTAAGTTCATCCCGTCAGAGGGATGCGCCCTGGCCTTCGACTTAAACCGGGGTTCGGCCGAGGTTTGAACGGAAACTCACAGTTCCTGTCCCCGTGGACCTAGAAGTTCAAACTTGGTAGGAATGGCGACACGATGGGAACACTCATGGTGGGTGGCAGGACCAGACTCCGCCCACAGGGGGCGGGGTTTGAGCGGAAACTCATAGAATCTGTCCCAGTGGAACTAGAGCGTTCAAATTTTTTAGGAGCACAGGTGACAGGATGGATACACTCATGGTGGGTGGCAAGACCAGACTCCGCCCACAGAAGGGGGGTTTGAGCGGAAACTCAAATCCGATAAAGGTCTTTGATGAAAATCAGCTCATGTGGCTCGGTCTCTCATAGCTAGAGCCTCTAGCGCACGCGGTAGCGTGCCTGGCCCCCCTTTATTATAATAAGCTCCTCAGTTGTTCCGAGCCATAGATCCATTTCGTTCCATCAACTTTCGAAGCGTTTGATATAAACAGCAATCTCTGTAAAGTATCGTTGAACTTTTCAGGTAAAAAGATTTATTTTATAGGTGTCTTGAGACGATCTATGAGTCGATTGGTTTCCAGGAGTAAAAAAGACGCCGTGGACCTTACCAGAGAAGAAGTAAGGGTCTCTTTCCTCCAAAATAAACTTTACTAGACTCCAGAGGAAGCTGAGGAACTGGGAGCGTAGGAAGTAAAGTTAATCAAACTATCTGTTTCTGTTATGGGATCAATTGCTGGAAGTGTCGGAGTTGATAGGAAACTTTCATTTCGGGTACTGCGTCCTGCTCCTCTCCAAGGCAGTTATTGGTTACTGTTTAGAATCATTATAGATAAATGAAGTCGCTTAGGGGGCTTTAGCTGATCGAGTTTCAGCTCACGCCCACCTCCTATTTTCGGGCATGTAATCCATCATAGTATGTCGATGGTCGTCATCATTCAGTTCCTCACTTACACTGGATAGATTGTCCCACTCAGTGACGCGTGTAAAAACCTCTGAGCTCCTCTATAGTCCCACACCAGATTATCTTCCTATTCTGGGGTTGATCTCGCAGGGTCCGTTACTCTCACCAGTTGTCGCCATTTTATTCTCTCTACAGCATCTTCAGCTGTCACCTTGTTTTTGACGTGGCCCTTCTTGATGACGTCCTGCCACCACTCCCTTGAAGCTGCTCTCGTTCGCTTACCTTGGGCTTTCGTTGTCTCTATTCTTGAGTCATCCTCTATTCTTCTCAGTCGTGCTCATACACACACAGGCACTGCTCTCTCAACTTCAGCTCACCTGGGGTTGTTTGCAGACCCACCTTGAAATCTTCTTTATAAGTCAGTCTCATAGTAGATATCAACAGTGAACAAATAATAAGCAGATCAAAAATAAATCCTAAACATCAGGGATAAGATATTGGATACTCACATGCCTATACAAGCGAAAACCCGAGCAATTGAACTAGTTTGTTGTTCTTCTATAAACATATTAAAAACATTTAGTTTATTTTCAAATTCTTCTGAAGAAATCGGTATTTTGAGGTCATACATTATAAATTAATACACATTTTGACATTGTACAGTGAACACATAGGTGACGTTAGAAGCCATTTTAGAAATTATGCCAAATTTCAATTCAAGCCAAACTTGAACGTTGACGTTCCTTCCAACGCGCTACATGGGAAGCCGAGGGGTGTGTGTCAAGTCGTGCGTCCGAGGGTGCGCGCGGCAAATTGCGCGGCGAAGTTCGTGGCGAATTGGGACGACTCCGGCGCCTATCATTGGGGCCCAAATCTGAAGTAAGGTAGATTAGTGAGGTCAGCTGATGCTACTATTCTACTGTACTTCGAAATTTAGCCCAAATAATAGGCGCCAAAGTCGTCAGAATAGGTATGGGTTTCGCCGCGCAATTTGCCGCGCGCTCCCTCGGACGCACGACTTGACCGTCCCCCGAAGCCGAGCAATTGTCGTGTTCGCTGGATTTGCAAGCGATCCATATCGATTCAGCACCATTCCAACTAGTCGAGAACACTTCAATTTTCAAGGTAAACATTGTAATTTTTTCTCTTTTCATGTCCTCTTCTTCTACACAATACTCTCTTTACTACTGGATAGGAAGTGATAAAATCGCTCGCCCCGCGGTCGTGTTTTTCTATATCCATAAGCTCGAAGCTAAGGGCGAGGAAAAAAGTCATCGGTTTATTCTCGCGTTTCTCCCCTTTTTTGCTAACACGATTTTTAAAAAAGTAACTAAAATTGCTGTGTTCAGATTCATTCGGTGTTCTCATTGCTAGGCCTTCGGCGAGCATACGTGACGAAGCTTGGTCGCCTAGTCGGAGTGGTGTCTTTGAGAGAGGTACATCAGTTTTTTGGAATTAATTCGATATATCAACCAATATAAGTCGATATATCGAGAAAGAAAATAAAACCAATCAATAAACTCTAGCAGCCAAAAAATATGCCCACTCAATTCCACAGAAAACCATAATTTATTGTATATCGGCTAGTTCTCACTATTTTCAGCATAAACCAATTATTTACCAAAACACCAACACCACCTTGACGCGTGGCCGTCGGTTGGGACTGAGCAGATCTAGAACTTTTGCCCTTCACCCTATACCCAACTCCTTTTCCATAACTTATTGTTACCTGAGCTCTCATGCGATTGAAATGATTTCAGCTGCGGTGCGCAATCGAAGACATCAATCACGCCTCGTCTAATGGTTCAACCAAATCCGTAGATAACCAAACTGCCCCCGTGCGTCATTCGGACACCCTCGATTCATGTCTTCACAAAGCATGATGCACGTAGGAACGGATCGAGAACGGGAGCAGGTGGTGCTGAAGACGGGTTGTAAGTATAACTAGTAGATGGACTATGTCTTGTTAACCTTTATTGTATCATTTGGGACTTAGCCGAAGAATTGTTCAGCAGTTCGTAGTTATATTTAGTGCTAACCGGTGATAATTGTTGCTATTGTGATATGGAATTTTTATTTCCTTTGTTAGAGGAACATCTGATGCTCTCAATTGCTTCCTACTAATTTTTTTTTGAAAATAATCAACAATCATTAGGTGGAATTCGTTTCTGTCATTTTCAATAGGTTGATATCCCCATTATCACTACTTATTACTTGATATCATAGCGAAATATCCATCCTACCTATTCGAGAACGGCTCGATCGACTATACTCTTCGAGGGTCGACGTGGTATGTTCCTAGGGGTTTCTTAGGACTGAAGGGGTAAAGGGAACGGGTATTCCTTCGTCCTAAAGGACCAGTCAACTAGGGACACTTTGATATTCGATCAAGAATCTTCTAAAATTGATTGGTACACAATCGTAGAGTCCAGTAGAATGTTCCTCTCAATAAGGAGATATGGTCTAAGGACGTGGTGAGGTTGAGTCAGCCTCAGGGCGTTCTCAATTGCTGACTGCTCTTTATCTCTCCTCTAAAGAGGCGTTTCACTTCTGAAGCCACTTGAAAGCTTAAAAATAAGTTGAAGGCAGTGCCTGTATCAGATATGATTGTCAGTGTCTTATCATTCCTTCACTTTACAAAAAGAATAAATTTTCTTAAAGCCATTCGACCGAGCTTAGCATGCTGTTCTCAAAGCGAATGACGCGCACCAAGTTGTTTTGAAGATTGTTTGCTGTTGTTTACAAGATTTTGATACTGTACACCTCCAATTCTCTTTGCGTGAGTAATTCTGGATAATAATGCCTGCAATCACCGTGGATGATTATGATGCCTTCCACCCGTCGGCCTAGCGCTGGGTATTCAGTATCCCTTGAAACTGAACAGCGACTAGTGAATAAGCCGTTAACTGCTGCTCTGTGGCACCGATTTGTCCCCAGTTTTCTACATTTTCTGGAATCATACCTTGTATTTCACCGTTAGCGAGCTACCCAAGCTATCCCAGAGCCAACAAGGGGCTTTCACTCTAGAGGCGTGGATACAGTTGCCATACGGAAGTTATAAGTCGACCCAGCACAGTAGAAACAGGGAGTCCGTCCCCTGAATCCACCTGCGTTTCTGGGCTAGAGCCGGTGACCTTTGGCCCGTAGTTTACCCCCTCTATCCGCTCCTTGGGTCGCGCCATATAGCCTCGTCACTAACCGGCTAGAGATCCTCCAGTGAGAGAGATTTCCCGGTGAGGGAGATCCGTAGAACAAAGAAATGATATCTCTTATAATAGTAGAAAGGCGTTCATTCGACTTTGGTTCTTCGAAAGACAGCTTTTCTTTCGAGGAAGAGCGATTACCCCAGGAATGTTACTTCATAAGTACAAGCCAGTAAGACAGTATAGTAAGAAAGTTTAAAGATACGAATCAGAGGGTAATATAGCGTGGTGTGAGCTTCTCAGTGCTCGAATATGGGCGATGTAAATGGAAGTACTTCAGAGAAAAATCAAGGTTCCCGTTGAAGATGTAGTGCACCGTTCTTGCCTTCTTCAGGCCCTGTTATCAGGAAATCGATCAATCGAGGAATGGAATCCTACCAAAGAAATGAATACAGCCCCTGGAGAATTGCAATGTGATCCGCAGGAAACATCCTTTTGTCAGTGACCATAGATAAAATAATTAAATTTGGCGAAAAGTGGGATGAAGGGATGGACAGTGAGTGGACAACCATTCAAGGCTATGAAGGTCTGCTAAAATCAGTGAAGTAAAATTCCAACTGTTTTTGGAGATGTATAGAACCTTTGGGAATAGCCAGCTGATACTTATCGGGGTGTTGAGAGTGGTTGACAAAGACGAACATCTCCTGGTGTGACGATGTTTCCAACGATTTACATTACATACTGTTGAATTAACAACTGGTATTAGAAGTTCAAAAGGAGTACGGGCTTCTAAACACTACTGAGCGACTAGTTTTAGAGGATTACTGGGGTTTTATTTAATCATTTGGGAAAACTTCTGAAGTGGCCCCGTCATAGGCATATTTGGACTGGACACTGATGAAGTGTGAGGGCATGATTCTGTTGAAGTTTTTATAAGGTTATTTACGAAAGGGAATTGGTAGGTCAGTTCACTGAGGGCAGGTCACCATCCCAAATCAACTATTGGGCCGCCCGTTGGTGGTTCGATACCGACCTTACCCGGCTCCTGGTCGCCTCCCTTCACCTATTTGACTTGTTGTTTTTTTTTTCACAATTTCTCTGCCTTTGACATTGGTAACGATAATCGAAATGTCTGTGGTCGTTTACGATTTCTTTTTCACTTGAATATGTAACTTCAAAGTTTCAGAAACTTCTAACGAGGAAGAAACCAGAAACCTTAGCAAAAAATGTGGTTTTCGTGTGGCCAGAAAAAAACGTGGCAATAGAATCGTGGACTCAGTGTCCAAACTCGGAACGGATTTAGAGGTACTTTTTCTCACTATTTAAGGGATTGGTTCTTATGGTTCTGTATTAGGAAGAAAAATTTGTATCAAAAAAATCCTCTCCCTACTAGCTGCGAAAGGGAAACGTGTGAATTGATGGGAAATGGACAGAGATAGGTGACCTGCGTTGGTTTGAACATAAGTTAAGGAAAAAGGAGTTTGAGTGCGTAATTGGGCTATACGACGATTTGCGGTGAGCAGCCAATGTTCAAGCTTTTATCCTCCCAAAAGCGTCTGGTACCAATCAACTGACTCTGGAGAATGGACGTCTTGGTTGACCTGCGTGGGTAACGATTCGGGAATTCGATTCCCTGGCTGTTCAGGGTAATAGTGCACAACTTCCCAGTACGCTACCTCAGCCTGAACACTAGATGTTAGATATTAAGTAATCGGCTACACGGGCAAAAAAAATATCAAACATTTCGATTGTCAGGGATTTCCATCGACTTCTTGAAGAAGTTAAACTATTTAACTTTTAAAAAAGTTGCACAAGAGGTATAATCTCGGCAAGTGAGTGTCGGAGGCCCCGACCTTACTTATCATGACTGGGCGAGTGGGAATGCAGACATTTACCAGTTAGTCATGAAATCCCTACAGGTCTCCTATATAATCCGGGCCATTGTTCTAGGTTTGTGATGTCTGCAGTGGCATTCTTCTCTATGAATTTGCCCATCCTTGCTAGCCAATCCCTCCTCCTCACTGCTGGAATTATGGAATGGACAGAATCTTTTTTTGAATTTTGGCTTAGTTATGATCAGGACTAAGTTCGATGCATAGTGGGTAAATAAAAACCAAAGAGTGTGATTGCAAGACATCGGGATTGGCCCTATTTGAGGTTTGATCCCTTGTAAATGTTTCCGGAACAATCAGGGAATATTGAGACGAATTCTCTTCTCCTTCCGAGAGATCGTCCATATAGTCTGGGATAAAGAATGTTTTGTCCACTGAGAACGAACTTGAGAACCTGTGACAGTATAGCCTTAGCTATGAGTATAATAATGTGTGCTCAAGCTTTCGAGGAGTTCAACCTGCCGACCAATGAGTATCTTCAGTTTTCGGGGAAGGACCCAAATTTGTTGGACATGGGTTTGTGCATGAACTCGCAGAAGCATTTGTCGATTCCACTGAGTGATGGAAGTATCCATTTTGACATGAACGGATGTAATGTCCTGTTAGAAGCACTACACTATTCATCAGTGCTATTGATATTCGATAGTGCACACGAGCAGAACAGACCAGTTGATGAAGTCGGACAAAAAGAGTATGGTCCTGACATGACTGAGATCATCTGACTGACAATGATGCAGTTGTCGGTCGAAACTGTCTGGGTATTTTATACTTCGTTGCCGCGCAATATAATGATAAATATGCGGTGTTAGCGACTGGAGTCATCGTTCTTTCGTTCCAACCTGGTGGATCTTTTCCTAGATTTCTGGGAGATAGATTTGAGATATGGTAATAACTGAGGCGGTTGTGCCGGAGAGTCCACTGCTCTCTATGGTGGTAGGGATGGGTGATTTCATAGTAACCCAGAAATCTTTATCGCTGGATTTTTTGCGGAAACTTTGGAGAGATTGGTTAATTATTGGCCATTTTTCCGTTCCATGATTGAATTGGTTCTTGCATGAACAGGTAAAACATATGCCCACAGAAATACCAGGGCCAAAAACTGTCGTGTGATTTAAAGTGTGACTTTGGCTATACCCCAACCAACGGAAATGCTGCCATTTCATCCGTTTGTCATCGCTTTCTTCATGTCTTGGAGAAATGTTCGGACAAAGTTCGCAAGTAACACCGGAAGCTTTTGTTTCTCCTACAGGTGTTTGCTCCCCGAGGATTCAATCCCGGTAGATATCGTAGCCGTGTTCCCATTAACTGGCTTTCCTACTATTGCTTCCTCCGCTTTCGCACTTTGTTTTCTCCTATCGGACTTAATCAGATCATGAGAAGATAGAGCTTGATCATGGGAAGTTGTGGATGGTGTTTCTATGTGGCAGCTTTATTATCACTGCATCTTTAGGCTATGTTATATCCTCCGCCTCCTATGTTCCGTGCCCAAAAGGAAACAGTAGCAAGCGCAAAAGGGAGGGTGAGTACGAACTTGACAACTACCTATCTGTTACGTGACCCAGCCGATGTGAATGGGCCTCAATCTCCGTAACCACTTCAGACAGGCCTAGGTAGCAGCCCGAAACCCAAGACCCATCGTTATTTGTCCTCATGAAAACTGGCAGATAGATGTATATTTGCTTACGAACTATCTGGAAGTGCCCTGATCAATGTGGTGTTTGAATCGAGTGTTAAATCGATGATTAGTAAAGAATTTTTTAGTTTTCCCCCTCTCCCCAATGCGAAGTCCTTTCCATCACGTGTACAAAGACCTTCTTGTTGAACTTTAAACTTTGGTCTTTGGCTGATTATGAGATGCCCATAGTGTGCCAAAGACCACCCTTAGCCTTATTGGTCGACACCTGGGTGATCGGGTATTGATGGATTATCGATAAAGGGCGGGAAGGACCTCTAGTAGACAGAGGTTGCTGCCCTTTGGTGGTAACATCGTATCGATTCTACTTATTCTTTTCTTTATTTGTCCTGTTTTTTCTTACGGTTACTCATGAGAAGGGGGTGAGGTAGAACGGAGAGTAATGGGTTTCTCGAGGGATTCATTCAGCGTTAACCTTTCTTCTTCTGTCTTTGTCATTTCATCGTTTTCTACTTTATACAAAGTTTTTGTATCAACCGCCCTGGGAATAGAAGACTGCCTGTAATGGAAGGGGCTTGAAGATAGCATGGTTATCCATCGATTTTCTCCCTATCTATCGAATCGAAATCAGTCTCCAGACCAAGTTACGGGCTTCAGACGCGAAAAATTAGTGCAATTTCTATTCGAGACCTGGTACCATGCCTATCTCATGTGCAGAATTCGAAAGCAGTAAGAGTGGGAGGAAGGAGCTTCTCGAAAAGGTGTTCACATTTGTGAATAATCAAGTGAACTAGAAGGCTACATTATTTCAAGATGAATATTCACATCGGGAGAAGTCACTGCTTTTGCATCTGGTTGCAATACTGGGGAGGAGGGCAGCTGTATCAGTCAGGATCAGCGACCTCTCTGCATTTCGAATTTTTTCATCGATAATATGCAAGCAGCTCCTCTTTTTTTTTCAAAATCAGTATTACAGGTTGAATGATTGCAATTGGATTGAAATTGCCACTGGCCTTCCATCGGTCCATGCCAGTGAAAATGGTGCTAGTGCTGCGCTCCAGAGCAATGTAGGTTCCTAAGTTTTCCTTTTACGACTTTGAAAAGATTCTGTTTCAGATTCGTTTATGTAGAAAATAGAAATGAAATAGTTTTTTATTCAACTTTCATGTGATCTAGAATAAGAGTTTTGACCGTTTTTCTTTGTTTCATTTTATGTAGAGAATAGAAATAAACTAGGCTTTCTATTTTATTTTTATGTCATCTGGAATAAGAGTTTTGACCGTTTTTCCTTGTTCCATTTTCTACTTTTTTCTGATTTTCTGACAGTTTTTGATGAAGGCTCCTTTTTTCTTTTTTTTTCTGCTCATGTGCAGGATTATCGTTTTAGAAACTCCGCTCAATAAGATTCGGCCCAAATCATGCTCAATATATCGATTACCACGCAAAGTCAGAGGATCATCTTGAAGCAGTGGTTGGGAAGGCTCGTTCAAGATCTTGGAGAAGCAACTACTCAGAGTTCTTGCTACAAATGGTCTTCGATTCTTGAGCATACTCGACGGCGCTCCGTTTCTCTTTTGATTATTAGCTCGGGATTGTTTTGTGCATGTTGGGGGGATCCGGATAGCTCAGGGCTGTTTTCTTATAGGAAAGAAACTTGCGAAACCAGTTCTCGGTAGGCTGGCACTTCCTATTACGCGCGGCCGAGGTCTTGGGACTTTGGGGGGTTCGGGTTTTCTTGTTACAAATGGTCTTCGATTCTTGAGCAGAGCCGACGGTGTACCGCTCCTCTTTTGATCATCAGCTCGGGATTACTTCTGCATGTTGGGGGAGATCTGGGTACCTTAGAGCAGTTTCCTCATAAAGAAGTAAAGAAACTTGCGAAACCAGTTCTCAAGGCTGGCACTGCCTATTACGCACGACCGAGGTCTCTGGATTTGGGGGGTTCGGATTTCCAAACGTGCCAACTAAGGAAAGGTTGAAAGGTTTACAAATTGAAGTGACCATCTGTAGCGTGACTTACACAACGGACAAGTGCTTGGATGCTTGTTTCGAATCTGCCTTCCAAGATAGCAAGAAAGTGTACACTACGAAGCTATGGTGATGCATCCATCTATTGAGGGCTCAACCATATGGAGGTGTTGGTGGAAAGTCTCTCCACGATTGTTGAGGGATGGGCATTGTGGCTATAGGGCGTTTGGCTAATTGATAGATTGGGCCTTCTTTGGCATTGTGCATTCGGTTTTTTTCGGCTTTTCGTTGAAAAGAGGTCATGGGTAGTTTACAGTGGCTCAACTGCAGCCTCAAAATTTTCATCAGAAAATTTAAATGCCTGAAGGGACCCGTAGACTCGCCGAGATCTGATGTTGCTGGAGAGAACGTGAACCCATCTGAAGCATATAATTGGTAGAGAAGACAGCCTGCTCACTTGCAATGCGTTTGGGATGGAAATTTTATGCGGAACTTATTCTCGGTCCACTATTTTGGGGGTCTTCTGAGTGGGAAAAGTGTGTGGGCGGCGTGAAAGGAAGGGGAGGGAAACATCAATTGAAAATCTAGCAGTTGGATATCGAGACTCAAGTTCAACCGCATTTTTTGAAATGGAGAGCAACACCCGGGTAGGCACTTCTGAAGGAATGTTACCTCTCGTTAGTGTTCGACCTGGTATTTTTCTGCAGGAGGGGGAAGTCTCCCAAATGGACGGAGTGTTGTAGGCTGACCACACCTTCCGCTTCGTACTTCAATTGCTTCGTTTTGATTTGTCTTCTGTAACACTAGCTCTTCAGCTCCATCAGAGTTTCTCGTGGATGAAGGTTCTCAAGTTTGGAGGCAGATCCAAAATTAGTATCCAAAGGCACGTCTATGAGTATGTCCAATGACAAAAGGCTCTTCAATTTGGGATCCTTCCTCGTGAGAAAGGGTATGCTCAGCAGAATCGAAGACCTATTGATCGATCGATTTTTGTGTTTTGTCATTATTGATCTGTGTTCATTGTTCATAAAGACTTTTTTCATCGCAGTTCTCGGAGACAGAGTCTGCTCATTGTATACTGAATTCAAAGTTCGAGCAGGCTCTGCCTTCGAGGCTGCCAGTTTTTTCTTGATGTTATATGCTTGTATCGGCCAAGGGAGAGTAAGAATGTGTGAAGGTATGTATGAGAGTGGGTGAACCGATTTTTATTGATTTTCGTAGAATGCAGGGTCAGAAAACGGCCAGAAGAAGTTAAGGGTTGGGGGGTTAAAGGATAGGGCTGGGGCTTTGTCCCTCTTATTGGTCGCTTTTGCTTACTTCATTCAATACGAAACGGGAGGACATTTTCCAAAAGCCCAAAGGGGACATCATACTAGGGCCGTGCTGTATTCGAAGAACGTTTGGGAGGGCTTTATTATCTACACCCAGGCAAGGGGAGGGCTATCTTCCAGGATGATGTGGCCACGAGGCTATCCGTAGAGGGGATGTATCGGGTGGGCTGATACGAAAAGCTTACAGTTGGTATTCCAATATGGGATATGAGATTGGACTGAACGAGAAAGGCTTACAATTGTTTTTTTTTATGGAATGATAACGTTGATTTAGGAAGACCTTCGGGGAGAAAGGGGTGAGGCTCTGCTTGGAAAAATGCTGTATCTGACAAGTGTTTGAGAGCACTTCGTACCCTGGGGGTGTACTGAAGGGATAGAGCTGCCTTTTCCAGGAGTGTGGGGTTCATAGGCCATTCACAGGGTTAGTCATTCAGGAGGGCTATAGAGGATGGATGGGGAAGGGATCGCTAGGGAAACTGCAGTATTTAAGGAAGGTTAGGAAAAAAGAATAGAATAAGAGGAGGGGAGCTGGATTCGGGGTGGGTTGGTTGGTAAGGGTGGGTTCGAAGTAAGGTATCCTATGAGGGGATCGTAAAAGAATTCTAGGATTAGCTCGTTGCTTCTGACCCTGCATTGGCCAAGGTAAGTAAATATGGAAGGTCAAGTGAGGTAAGGATAAGCCATGCGATGCAAGAAGTGTTTTCGAAGGGACAGACGGGGGGCGAAAAGTACTTTTACGTTTCGGCGGAGGGGCCATAAAAGCAGTACTTGAAGGAATTCAAGATCGTCATGGCTTATCTGAAAGGATGTGAGATCATTGCGTATTTCTGTAGTACAGTTGGTCCGGATTTCTATGCCACGGAGC